ATTGCTACATCCTTTTTGGAAAGTAATCTGGCAGGATTTATTAAAATTAAAAATGTTTACACTCCCTGACCCAGCAATCCCACTTCTAGGAATCCAGCCGATAGAAAGGACTGCCTCATTTCTCTTTGCAGATAGACCAAAAGTTGTGTGGTGGGAAAAACAAACACAAACCAACCTGGAGATAACTCACCCATCACTTGGGGACTGGCCAAGGGGTAGGGAGGCATGTCCGCAGTGTGGAAAAGTATGCAGCTATTAAAAAGAGTGCATTGGAGCTTCTGTAGCTAATGCCCATTATATGTTGCTTTGTGAATAAAGCCAGAAAGGAGGAACCCCTGATCTATGTGTATATTTAACAAAATCTTCCCAGGCCTGCACCGTGAGCTCTGTCAGCAGCAAGGTGAACATTGGCTGCTGCTGGGGGAAGACTGGCCCTGAGTGAGCTGCCAAGTGAACAGAACACCAGCAGGAGATGGGTGCGGCTGGGGGCAAGGCAGAGCCAGAAAGTCCAGGGTATTTGGGGAGTGGGCGCTGAAACAGAGACCCAAAGGATGAGCACACACAGTCACCTCTGCCTGTGTGCTCATCAAAGGGTGTGGAGCGTTACTGGCTGTGCCTGGCTGTCCTTGTGGTGACCAGAAGGGACTCCTGCCTCTTCCCAGCTCACCTTGGCATGTTTTGACCTGTTCCCAGTCAGCGTTTTGAGTTGTGTTTTTTTTTTTTCTTTAGACCCGTAAAACAAACCATTGTAAAAAGGCGAATGGTTTGGCTGGCCAGACAGCAGGTGTCCCTTAAGCCTGGAATTCCTGAACTCTGTGTCCCTCTGCAGCCCCTTCCTCCAATTTTACAAATATCTGCAGCTGCCTTCCCCAACTATCCACTCCCAAAGGCCTGATGGGCTCAAGTTTCTGTTTCTAGAAACCAGAGCTGCTGGTGCTGGAGGCTGACTTGGCTATCAGACCCCGAGTGGGGGTGCACTCAGGGCTTCCTCTTTGTCTTCAGCCTCTGCAACTTCTCAGAAAGCCATCTCCCTTCCCCCACCCTCAGGCTGCCCAAGGACCTGAGCGCTTTGCGGGGTGGAGGAAGGGACCCCATTCCCCACTCCCTCTACAAGCAAGGTCCACATTGGAGAGGAGGCCCGTTGGTTTGGGGCAGCCTTGCCCAGGGTCAGGCCCTGGGGATACTCCTGCCTAGGGCTCCTGCAATCTTCAGCCTTCTGAGATGGGTGCTTTGTCCCCATTTTTCAGGTAAGCACAGGGAAGATCAGAAGGTGGGTGAGAGAGGGGCCAAGTCAGAGGTCCCACAATCGCTCAGTGATTCCAGAGTGCCTGGCCCTGTGCTAACATCACCCGGGCCCCACCCTGGAGACCCTGGGCAGGCCAAACCTGGGCTGTCCTCAGATTGACACTGCAGGATGGCCAGCAGCTATGATGGGAGGGGAGGGAGACTGAGGCCTTCAGACCCAAATGTCAAGGTTAGGCCCCCAACAAGGCAGGGGCTGCTTGGGAGCCTGGGTGGTCCCAGAGCAGGGCAGCAAGGGTGGGGTCTGGAAGGGGCCAGCCTCCACCACAGCCAGAACTGCCCCTGGCTGGCCTGGCTCTCATCTGTGGACCTTCCACTTTCCCCAGGGCCCACAGAAGTCGGTCTGGTGGCATCTGGACAAAAGCTGGGTGACATCACCTGGCCAGTTTATGGTTCAGGTTCCTCAGAAATCGCATCTGGTTATACATTAACCACCCGGCCTCTGAGGAGCCTCAGAGGAGTGGCTGGCCTCTCACGCACAGATCACCACCCTTCACCCCCATCAGCTGGGGGTGCAGGGCAGGCAGAGGTGGGCCAGGTGCGAGGGCAGGGCCAGGCTCCAGGCAGGGCACTGGAAGCCATCATCGTCCTCGGGGTCTGTGTCTGAGTGCAGCCAGAGTAGGCGTTGTTCCTCCTGGTGCCCTGGCCCCAAGCTCTGCAGAATCCAGAGGGGAAGTTCGCTGGGGTCAGGAGAGAGCTGGTCAGAGAGGAGGGGACCTCAGTCACCTGATCCCTGCTAGGGATGTGAGCAGAGCAGCCTCCCCCGGCAGCCATCCTCAGCTTCTCCCTTTCCTCAAGGGTCTCTCCTTCCTGCCTGTTCCCACCTTTCTTCAAACCTTCCATTGTTTCTCTGCAGCCAGGTTTACTGGCTTTAAGTCCCAATCCCACTTTGACCTCATTGGCTGTGTGAACTTAGACAAGTTACTTAACCTCCCTGAGTCTTAGTTTCCCCATCTGTAAAGTGGTCCCTCCCTCATAGGATTGTGGGGAGGATTCAATGCAGTGACACTTGGCTGGGCTTACTTACATAGCACCAGTTCCCATTGGAGGAGTCCTGATATACAAACTCTGCCCTGGGCAAGGCTCAGGGGATCAGCTGGGGCCTGGAGGAGGCCAGTGCTTGAGGACTCAGGCTGAGGGCTGGGGCAGGCTCAGATGTAGCAAATGGGCAGCTCTGGGAAGGCTGCCTGGAGGAGGGGACAGTTGGAGGAGCCAGTCAGCCAGTCATGGACAAAGAAGCAAGTGGGAAGTCAGGACCACAGGAAACCACCACCAAGTCAGCGTGTCTTAATTTAGGCTTAGTAGGCGTCCAGCCTCAGCTCCACACCACAGCTGAGTGGCTGGGGAAAGAGGAACCCCCAGGAGAAGTGGAAAATTGAGATCTCAGGGGAGCAATTAGGAGGTGATTCAGGCGGTGCATCACCAAGGGGGGGTGAAGCAAAGTCACTGGGAATAGAGGATGGCGAGCCAAGGGTGGGGCTGGGCTGTCTCAGTGTTAGAGCAGGAGGCAGGGAGGCCATGATGCAGCCACACAAGGACAGGAACCCACAGAGAGTGGGAGGCTACCAACAGCCCCTCACCTTCTTATCCCCGGAGTTCCCAGACCCCAAGCTCAGCCAGGGCGGGGGCAGGGAAGGGCTGAGGCCAGGCACCTGGGTTTCCACCATGGGGCCCTGATGAGCCCATGGCAAGGGTTGCAGACCCTTGGTCAGTCCTGGCCACACAGGAGGAAGAGTGCAGAGAGCCCCACAGGCTGGCAGCACTGGGGAAGGGGCTGGCTCTGCAGGGGCCTAGCCACTCCCATTCGACCAGGAGCAGCCGGGCCGAGCGGTGTCCTGGTACCGTTATTTGCTGACAGGCCCTGGGTTAGAGTCCAGGCTTCACCCCAGGGTTGCTGGGTGGGCTGGGGCATCTATCCTCTCCAGGCCCAAAGGCTAAGTAAGCCCTGGTTGCAGGCAGCAGAGGGCTGGAGGCAGACAGTCCTCGTCCCCTGCCCCCCCTCCCCCCTCATACACGCTCCACAGAGGAACCCGCTCTGAATCAGCCCGGCTGAGAAATAACAGAGCGGCCGCTTCCCTTTTCTGCCCCACCCCCAGCCCCTAGCTCAGGCCGCTGGCCCTGTCCTGAGCCCAGTGCATGTAGCTCTCATGGCACCCTGAGTCCCAGAAAGGGACACAGGACCCCCTCCTCCTATGCGCGGCTCCTGCCCTGCTGAGAACGTGCCCCTGCGGGGAGGCCGGGCCTGGGCGGAAGGCCCCTTCTGCAGACCCTGCCAGACCCCCATCTCCTGCACCCTGGCTGACCCCAGCTAAGGCCTCTGATCCGTGACTCCAATTTCTGGAATGCACCCCGGGGCCCAGTCACGGATGCTCCCAGAGCGATTTGCAGTGACCAAGTGTCCTCACGGGACTGGGCAGCTAGCCGTGGGCGGGCCGTCCCGTCCCGGGACCCCAGAGCTGTCAGGGCCCTGCCCCGGTCGCAGCCCGCGCGGCCCACTGCCGGGGCGGTGAGCCTTGCAGCTTGTCTTTGCACGGGCGCGTGTCAGCACAGGCACGCGCACCCAGGAGGAAGCCGGCCCGGAGGCGCGCACCAGCGGCGGGCGGTGCGGCCCGCGCGCAAGGGCGGGGCTCCGTGACGTCATCGACGGGCGCCGGGCCCAGAAGCCGGAAGTGGTGTGGCCGCTGTCGCGGAGCCACGTGGGGAGCCTCCCGCAGCAGGAACCGACCCAGTGTCGCTGGTGAGACTCCGCGGGGCAACGTGACAGTGTGCGGGCGGGGGTCGCCCCCAGCCAGGTGCCAGCCGGGCCGGCCCTTCCTCCCGGTTCTGCACAGGCCTAGCCGGTGCTTCTGCTTAAGGCCCATTGCGTGTCCTCAGCCTCTGCATGTGGGCCCTTGCCTCTCTGCCACCCGCCCGCCCAGAAGCCCGCCTTAGGGGAGATGGAGGAGAGGTGGGTTCTACCCAATTGAGCCTCGAAACGAGGTGACCATTTGCTGCTTCCCCGCTCTCATCTCACACCTGAAGACTGGGAGCCAGGCTCCTGGAGACGGGTGTCAAGGGCGTCAGGTCTTGACTTTGTGGGAATCCTCGGGCCCATCCTCTGCCATTGCCTGGCCTCAGTCCCTCCGTCAGTGATTGGGCTGATGGCTTCTGTCTCATAACCCAGACCAAGAAGGGCTTCAAATATCAGGCCAGGGCCAGGACCTGAGCCATTCACCCCACCCCAAGGCTCAGGATCTGGGCATCACCATGCACATCCGGCTTCCTGGAGTCCTTACGTGCTCATGCCGCCACACACCTCTTCCCAGGTCCCTCGCACCGGCCAGACAGCAGCACCATGAGCTTCGTGGCTTATGAGGAGCTGATCAAAGACGGTGACACAGCCATCCTGTCACTGGGCCATGGTGCAATGGTGGCAGTGCGCGTGCAGCGTGGGGCACAGACCCAGACCCGGCACGGCGTCCTGCGGCACTCGGTAGATCTCATCGGTCGCCCCTTCGGCTCCAAAGTGACCTGTGGCCGAGGTGGCTGGGTATATGTCCTGCACCCTACGCCAGAGCTCTGGACGCTGAACCTGCCGCACCGTACCCAGATCCTCTACTCCACGGATATCGCGCTGCTCACCATGATGCTGGAACTTCGGCCCGGTTCTGTGGTCTGTGAATCTGGTGAGTTCTTTAGTTTCACCTCTGAGAAACTGACGCAAACCCAATGTGTAGACAGCCGCCAGCATGCCCTCCCTGAGGCCAGGCATGCCCGTTCGACCTCTATTTTAACAGAATCTTTCTGGAGCGTTGACTGCAGGGAGTGAGGGCAGAAGCAAGGGAGCTGGTTAGAAGGCTGGTGCTGTAATCTGAGTGAGAGATGAAGGACTGGACCAAGGATAGCCCCCAGGAGGTGGTGGCCTCTAAGGGTCCTGCCTGCCTTGGTGGGCCTGGCCAGAGTGCTGCTTGGTGCTGACCGAGGTGCTGACAGAAGGGCAGAGGGTGCCTGGAAGAGCAGACCCTCACGACTGCAAGTGGGAGCCCCAGGCCCAGGACCGAAAGGTGCCCCTTCCTGGAGAGTGGCCAGGCCTGCGCCGAAGTGTTCGTGGTAGGCGGGAAGCCTGACCCGTGCACATCCCTAACCAGCGTTATTGTCGCTGAGCCCAGGACCTGGGGTGCAGCTAGAAGTGCCTGAGGCCAGCTGTTCCTGGGCCCTTACACACACACACACCCAGAGGTGCTGGGACTGCCAGGACTGCTGGGACTGAACCATGCAGCCTGGCAAAGAACATCCCAGATGTGCCTGGATCCCAGATGGGTTGGGCTCACGAAGACTTCCCAGCATCGCTACTGTTAGCTCTCTGAGGGCTTCAGTCCATCCTATCTCTCTCTGGGTCTCAGTTTCTCCATGTGGACAATTGGATGGTCCCTGTTACCCAGCCAAACTCTTTGGAAAGAGTCAGATGCAGGCCCTAGGCTCTGGGTCAGAGAGTGGATGGGGCTGGGCAGAGGCTAAGTACTCAGCATGAGGGCAGCTGGGGTGCCTATGGTAGGTGGACAGTAGAACTCAGAGCCAGCGCCATCCCTTGCTGCTCCATGTGCACCCTCGACCAGCATCTCACTCCACTCGGGTGGGAGAGCTCGGTCGGTGGGCACGCTTCTGGGCTGCTCTGATGTGCCAGCTTCTCTGTCAGGAACTGCGGGTATAGCTGTGCACAGGATAGACCAGGTTTCTGCTTCTCAGAGGGGGACAGACAGTAAGCCAGCCTGGTATGACCATTTCAGCGGGTTGAATCCTTGAGGCTTGGAAGACAGGGCTTCACGTTTGAGGGTGACTGAGAGGGGTCCCTCCAGCTATGGTGGTTAGGGAAGACCTCTCTGCAGAGGGTACATTGAGTTGAAAATGATGAGAAGGAGGTACCTACCAAAAGCTGAGGAAGAGTGTCACGCCAGAGGAGGTCATGCAGGGGCCCTGAGGGAAGGACAGCGTGGAGGCTGGCATGCAGGAGCAGGAGATGAGGTCGGAGATAATGGGGTGCAGCTTGTAGTGTCATTAGGAGCCTGGCTCCACCCTGCGTGGAGAGGGGAGCTCGGCCGGTTGTGCAGAGAGCAGAGTCAGCCTGGTTTGACTGTGGGTGTTGAGACAGGACTGAAGGTGGCCAGTCTGGTGGCTTTCGCAGAGCCAGGAGGGAGGGGCCCAGGTGAGTGCGGCAGGCAGGTGGGGACAAGACAGGGAGTGGCTCCTGGAGAGAGGTGGAAGGGTGGCAGGAGTTCCTGGCTGATGCGACGTGGGTGAGAGAGGGCAGAGTCAAGGGCATCTTGTGGTGTCTGCTGAGCAGTGGGTGTGGTTGACGGAGCTTGGGAAGGTTTGGCAGGGAGTGGACTTGGCGTTGGATCAGGTGCGGTTTTGTGCTTATTAACCCTGAGCACTGTTTGGATGCTGAGGGGAGGTGGTGAGTGTGCAGTGGACACCAGGTAGGAGTCAGGAGTGGAGGGACATGGCTCTGGGGAGTTATCATCAAATAGGTGGCCCCTGCAACCAGCGGGTGAGGGCAGGTCAGGGGCTGGATGGGAGCTGCTGCAGGATAGGAGGCCAAGGAGAGGGCCAGCCTGGGAGGGAGCTGAGGAACGGCTCGTGCGGTTGGCGGGAAATGGGGGGGCGATGACATGGCGAGGAGAGGAGCTCTGTAGTGAGTTGGTGTCAAGGTCCTGGGAAGTGCAGCAAAGCGAGGGCAGAGTGGCACCCCTTGTGGCAGGAGGAGATTGGGGGGCACAGAGATGGACTAACCTGAGTGGGCCGGGAGCTCGGGGAGCTAGGGACCAGCCACCGCACAGAAGGCAGTGGGACAGGCCCAGGCTGCTCTGGCCACTCTGCCCCTTGCAGAACCCTGTCTCTAGGTCTGTGCAGCCGTGTTTGCTTCTGTGTGGGGACTGGGTGGGGCAGCCACTCTCCCACCGGAACCACAGCAGACATCTGTGATCAATCCCAGCTTGCCTACACCCCACCTGGAGGTCAGAGGTCAGAGGTCAGCCCCTGACCCCAGTGGTTCCCTGGACTAGCCTCAGGACCCAAACCCAGGGCAGCCAGCACCGACAGGCAGCTAACAAGTGAGGCCCACTGGTAACTTGGGCCGGGGTCTCTCCGGGGTGAGGATGGGGCTGTTTCCTGGGTGGCCCCAGCTGTCTGCCTGATACTTCTCCTGCCCCCAGGGACCGGCAGTGGCTCCGTGTCCCACGCCATCATCCGCACCATTGCGCCCACGGGCCACCTGCACACGGTGGAGTTCCACCAGCAGCGGGCGGAGAAGGCGCGGGAGGAGTTCCAGGAGCACCGCGTGGGCCGCTGGGTGACTGTGCGCAATCAGGACGTGTGCCGAAGCGGCTTCGGCGTGAGCCACGTGGCGGACGCTGTCTTCCTGGACATCCCGTCCCCTTGGGAGGCTGTGGGCCACGCCTGGGATGCTCTCAAGGTCGAAGGTGCATCTGGGGTTCTGGGGGGGGGGTACGCCCTGGGGGCCAGGCTCTTGTCCCCACCCGGCTCTGGGTCATCTGAAGCCCAGAGGTTGGAAATTGCCAGGCACACAGCAGCTGGGCCCCAACCCTCACCCTGTTGACCTGGGGCAGCGGTGGTCGGTGGTCGGGTTGGCCCGGGAGCCACAGGAGGTCACCAGGTGGAGGGTGAGGGTTGGAGGAGTCAGTTTGGTGAGCATGGGGCTCCATCTGGGTGCTTGCTTGGAGGTGGAGGTGAGAGATGTCTGAGGGCCCTGGGGACTGTGGCAGCCCCACCTGAGTGAGAGGTGGGACTTCTACCGCTGGGTGTGCCAGAGGCCAGAGGTCAGCCGCTGACCCCAGCAGTTCCCTGCGGAGTCTCCCCTCCCCCCAGCCAGGAAGCAGGCGATCTGGTCCCTTTTAGGGAAGAGGCTGCCTTGGAGGCGGGAAGTGGCTACGAGCCAGGGAAGTGCTGGTGAGGCCCTGGGTTTTGCCCTTTTCTGGAGAAAGCGATCGGGCCCTTTCCCTCCTCCCAGCTGAGCCTGTAGTGAAGGGGGCAGGCAGGCCCCGTGCCCTGGGGGAAGGGTTACCCTTCTGTAAGATAGATGCCAGGCCGTTCCCACAGCAGGGTAGCGGCCAGTGGGTCCCGGTGGGTCCCCCGCCAGCTGGCTCAGGCTTGACCCTGGACTCCTGAGTCCCTGGTCTCTGCCGAGGTGGCCTGGGGCTGGGGAAAGCGGCAGCCCTGGCTCCCCCCATCCCCACCCCCTCCAACTTCGCCCTGGACACCAGTTGGCACCCCACCCTTGCTCCAGGGCCACTGGGGGGTCCAGGCCCCAGTCCCAGGGAGGCCAGAGCCAGCTGCCCAGCCTTGGCTGAGCCCAGGCAGTCACACTCCCCGACCTCCCTCTTGCGGCTGAGACTGTTTGCTGGTAGCTGGCCCAGGGGAGCCATGCCATCTGTCCTCCCATCCCATGTGCCCTCTAAGCCCCTCCTCTGGGCTCTTTCCCTGGATCTGTTTGTTCTGGGCCCAGAGGCTCTCTGCTCAGCCGTGGGCCAGCCTGCTGGGAGCCCGGCCCCTTCCCGGCCCATCTCCAGACCGCAGGCTGGCCAGCAGGCTCAGGCCCTTGCCTCGCGGGTCCTCAGTTTCCCTGGCAGCGTGCACAGGGTCAGGATTCCCTCTTGGGGGTGATACTATGCCCCCTCTAGGTTGGCCTCAAGCTGCGCGTGCCTCCTCCAAGCCCAGACCTCCCTGCAGCCCTGATGGGGACCTGTGTCCCCAGGTATTGTTGAGGTGACCAGGCCTCACAGACAGTAGAGGACTTGCCAGGGCTACACCCTTTCCCCTGCCCTGGCTTCCCTGTGCCCTCCCTGCCAGGATAGGGACCTAGGCGGGCGCTGGGCCAGGCTGAGGGGCACTGCAGGCAGGCGGCTCCCAGTGGGAGGCGGCAGGAAGGGGCTGTCAGCTCCTGCCCCCGCCTCGTCATCTCAGCCTTCTGGCCCCGCTCAGAGTAGGCCCTTCCAGTTCCCAGGAGCTGGTGACAGCCTCTAATTTCCTGCGATGGCGGTCCCCACCCCCTCGTGGCCCCCTTCTCTGCCCCAGCCCTGTGCTGCACCGTGTGGTTAGAGCTATCTGGTTACAGCTGTCTGGTTAGGGCTGTCTGGTTAGATCTGTGTAATGAGAGCTGTGTGGTTAGAGCTGTCTGGTTAGGGCTGTTCTGGGCCCGGCGTGCTGTCAGCTGCAAGCCAAGGCTCCACCTGACCCCTGATCCAGCCTTTGCCCTGGCCCCTAACCCCAGCTCTCCGTGGTCCAAGCACAAGGGCTGGCTCCAGACGTCTACCCTCGTCATTCACAGTGGGGTCTCTTTACTGGCACCTGCTCCTTAAGGGACTGGGGGTGGCATTGCCTCTATCCTGTAGTCCCAGCCATAGACACCGGCCATAGGAGGCTGCCCGGCAGGCAGGAGGGCTCCGAGGTCCTGCAGCCCCCAGCCCTCTGACGCAGTGTCCTGCCCGCTGCAGGTGGGCGCTTCTGCTCCTTCTCGCCCTGCATAGAGCAGGTGCAGCGCACGTGCCAGGCGCTGGTAGCCGGAGGCTTCTCAGAGCTCAGCACCTTGGAGGTGCTGCCCCAAGTGTACAACGTGCGCACCGTCAGCCTGCCCGCACCGGACCTGGGAGCCAGCCCCGGCCCTGACGCCTGCCCCTTCCGCAGCGGCACACCCATGAAGGAGGCCGTGGGCCACACTGGCTACCTGACCTTCGCCACCAAGAGCCCAGGCTAGTGGGCTGCCCGCCAGAGCCTCGGGGAGCTGGGAGCACGGCGGGCCCAGGCAGGAAGGCACAGTCTGCTGTGGGCGCCTTATATGGTCAGCGGACGCCTGCTGGGCCTGTGTTTAGACAGATGGTGGGGTGGAGCCGGGGGGCCTCCTGGGTGGCCAAAAGGGGAGGCCAGCCCCAGGCCTCAGTCCCAAGAGGGAGGCCTCCACCCAGTCCCTGCCGTGCTCAGTGTCCCAGTCCTGCTGTTGCTCACTGCCACATGAAGTCCTCACTGTCATAGGCTCTTCTGAATGTGAGGCCCAGGGGTGCAGGTGGTGGGGCCCAGGTCTCACTTCTTTCCAGGTGGCCCCAAGCAGGGAGGGAGGTGAGGGGTGCAAAGACTCAGGGAGGAGGACTGGGGGCTCAGTGGCGCAGATAGGCCCCCTCTTGAGAGCCCTGCCCTGTCCTGGCCTCTCTGCCCACCCTTCCCAGAGGCGAGGGAGAGGCAACCCAGCTGTGTGGCCTCCAGCCTGACCCCTCCCCCTTGGCGCTGCACCTCCTCTCCTGCTGAAGGGGCAGCCCTGCCAACCTGCCTTCTTTTCCTACCCCTGGGAAGTGCCTTCCGCTGTTGTCAATAAGTGAGAACACACAGCATCACTGAGGAGCCCCAGGAGAATGGTGATGGGCCTCGAGCGACCCAGCCAGTTCGTGTTGGAGCCCCAGCTGTTCTACCCCAGCTTCTCAGGCACTCTCGCCCCTTGCAGGAGCCCTGGGGTTGCCAGGGGGCGTGCATCCAGATGGAGGGCAGGACACCAGGGCTAGGGGCACATGTCACCTGCCCTGGCCTCCAGCTCTGTGCTGTGTGGCTGGTGTCCCCGCCTGCCACTGTACACACAGGGCCTGGATGTCTGCCCTCGACCTCACCTTTCCCATGTTGGGGCCAGAGCCCCAGGGTACTGGGCTGGCACGGAGCCCCTGACCACGCCTGGCGGAGAAATAAACACGCTTGCCCCCATGTGCTTCCTGGTCTCTCTGGTGGCCCCAGATGCCAGTGCCCCCTCCCCCACACTGGTTTCCTGGCTGGACCTCCCCCTGCAGCCCTCCTGGCCCCTGCTCCTTCTCCCTGTCCAACGGCAGGGACCATGGGGCTCTAGACTCCAGGACAACAGCCTGGGATGAGATGGACAAAGAGTTGAGTGCGTGGCCACCCCCACCCAGCTGCAGAAAGGTCCACTTGTCCCTGAGAAGGGTGGGGGAGGGGAGAGTCCATGTGTGCTTGCGTGTGTATGTGTGCGCGCACATGTGTGCGTGTGTGCATGCTTGTGTGTGTGTATGTGTGTGCATGTGAGTGGGTGTATGTGTACGTGCATGTGCTTGTGTGTTTGTGTGTGCATGCACATGTGTGCATGTGTGTGCGTGCATACACACGCGCCCCAGAGCCCTGTGCCTTGCCCCGCAACCCCACCAGCCCTCACATTCACACCACAGGACCTTGGTGCCTCTCGTGCTCCCTAAAGGGCCTAAAACTCAAGAAGGACCCTCAAGACCTGCCGTTCCTGCCTGAGGCCACCCCCCCAGGTTTTGTGGGCCCTTGGAGGGGCGCCAAGCGAGGTGGGCCTGCAGGAGGGCCAGTCTCCTGGTGGCAGTGTCACAGGACTGGGTGACTTCTCCTCCTCGGTGTCCCCCTACGCAGCTTCCTGGCAAGACCTGTGTCCCCTCAGAATCCCTCAGCGTTGCTGGATCTAATAGCCCTGCTCAGGGGCCTTGTCCCACTTCCAGGGCCCGTCCTGACCTCTGAGCAAACTCCCCGCCTGGGGGCGGGAGGAGAAACAGGAACGAGGGCCTTACCCTGGCCTCGTGGGAAAGGCCTGTGGGGTGTCAGGTGCTCGGTGCTTGCCACAGTGTGCAGAGCACCTGGGCCCAGACTGCGGCCCTGGGTGAGTCTCTGGGGCCTGCACGTTTGTCTGTGTGAACTGGCGGGCAGCGGGAGAGCCCAGCCCACCCCAAGATGGATGACCAGGGTCGGGGGCCACCGGGCTAGAGGTCAGGGGCCTGGATTGCTGTCCCTGATGACAGTTGCAGCTGGTACAGAGCTGCTCTGGCGTTTGGGCTGCCCTCCAGGCCTTGCACATCCACCCCACCCCAGATGGCAGCCCAGGCCCAGCTCACCTTCAGCCCGAAGGCCCACCTGGCCCTGAGCCAGCAGTGAACTCCTGTGCATCCTTCAAGGCCCCTTTCAAATGTGTCTTCTCCATGCCTCCCGCCACCCAGGCGGGAGCGTCCTGCTTAACGTCCTCTGCTCCCGCACATCCCATGGTGGCTTACATGATCACCCCTCAGAACTGTCCCCAGCCTGGGAGCCCCTGCAGGCAGAAAAGCAGGAGCCCAGCAGTGCCCCAATTCTGCAAATGGGGAACCTGATGCTCAGAGAGGCAGGGCCAGGGCCCAGGCTGAGTGAGTGACGAATCCTCAGGTCAGTGATGGTCACCTCCTCGAGTCAGCAGCATGGGGCTGGTCACAGGGCAAGGATTCACCCGGAAACTCCTTTCCCAGCCCCAGACGCACATTCACCCCGGCACTCAGCTCTCCCTTGGAAATCTCTTCACCTTACCCTGCTTTCCCACCACACCCCTGCCGGATAAGATGGGACACGTCTATGTCTCCTGCAGCCCCCACCCCACGTCAGCCCCAGAAGGCCCAGAGACCAGCAGCCTCAGACCCTGGCTCACGGGCCCCAAGGGCCCCAGACCAGGATCCCACCCTAGGGCCGGAATTAGAGGCTCCCCCGGAAGCGCCCCCAGAGGCCTTGCCCCCCTTGTGAGCTGCTCCTGGCCTCACCACGCTTGACTCTTATCTGTCTGCCCTCCCAGCGACACCTGCGCTCCTGCCTGGTCTAGGCTGTGGGTGGGTGGGCGGGCTGCGTGGGGCCCAGGCCCAGAGGACCCAGCCATCCCCCTGCACAGGTGGAAAGACTGACGCCCAGAGGAGATGTGGCTCTGGGCTCCAGGCCTCCTGCCTGTTCCTGGCCAGCAAGACCTCCCATATCACACACTCTCCCACCTGCATGGGCCCCTGAGGTGTGAGCACAGAGGCCAAAGGGGAGAGAGTGCCCCTGTAGCTGTAGCAGGCTCAGAACAGGTGACAATCATGCAGGATCCGGAAGGGTTCCTGGAAACTGGAGGTGAGCAGGAGGACATCGCAGATGGAGTGGGCAGGCCTCGGGCAGGAGGCCCTCCAGCAGGCCTCCCAGGCTGACAACTGCCTGCCTGTTTGCAAGGTCGCTCTAAGCACAGGCTGGTCACCCAAGCCCAGTGCCCCCACTCTGTCCAGGCTCTGTTAGACTCACATGCCAACCTGGGGATGCCCCTGCCTCCTGGCGGGGCCTGGGTTGAGAGGGTCCCAGGCTGGTCTTGCTCCCGACGGCCCCAGGAGGGAACCTGCAGATGAGGGCTGATTGGCCCTGTCACCCAGCACATGTGGGCTGAGCAGCGGCTGTGTGCCGAGGACCCAGGCGTTCTGGACAGCCTGGCCTGCTCTGGAGGGGCTCCCAGGAGCCAGCACAGACAGTGCAGGGAAGAAGTGCATGGTGGGAGCAAAGCCAGGAAGGGGGCCAGACTATGTGCTGGACAGAGGGGTGGGGATGTCAGGAAGGCCTTACCAGGAGGTGGCCCCTGCGGTCACAGAGGGACAAGGAGTTTGGACTTGATCCTGCAGGCAGCCTACCCTTAACAGGGATGGTTGGACGCTACTCTGCCCTCAAGGGGGGGTCACATCCTCCCTCTGGCACTGCAGTGACAAGTCACTTCCCTCCCTCCTGCTGAGAGGAGGGGGTGATCACAGTGCCTACCGGAGGGGGCCTGCCTCAGATTAAATATCATATCAACGTTTGCACAGTCGGTGCTCACAGAATGTCTCTGATTATTATTTGTGCTGCCGCTGCCTCCAGGAAGCCCCCCTTTCTCAGAATCGAGGACCAGAATTTTGGGGCCACTTCTGGATCCATCTGAGAATGTCCTTAGTGCTTTGGGGCATTTGAATAGCTTTTTGTTACAGGGGCCCTTTAGTTGTTTATCAGGAAAACAGGAGAGAGGTTTTTGGTTTTTTTTTAAAAGATTTTATTGGGGGAATTGGAGGATGGGAACAGCGCTGGGGAATTGGGGGAAAGGGAACAGACAAGTTGCTGTCCTTTTGTTCTTCAGTCTAGTTCAGGACGTCACTTCACTGGCCCATGTTGGTATTATCATTGCGCTCTTCCTGGGTGAGGCAGTCACATCCCCCCAAAAAAACCCAACTCAGGCTTAAGGCAGCAGTCAATTCCTCTGGGATCTGTGGCTTGGCTGCTGTCAGCCAGGCCCGTTCACGGGTGGGGGCTGAGCTGACCGAAGGCCCTTCCTCCAGGGCAGTGGACTGGCCTGCACACCCTCTTCTCATGTCCATGGCTCACAAGCATCAAGGGCGAGCCCAGTCGGGGGTCACTTTTCAAGCCTTTGGTCAGGTGGCCTAACCTCGAGAGAGACCCTGCATTTTTAGGGAGAAGTTGTGGCTGCAGGCACAAGGGTGGTGCCAAGTGGGGCCTTGCCTGCCCTGGTGGGTGCCCTGCATGGTGGGTCCTCAGCGAGCAGGGAAGGGACTGCGGGGCCCTGCCATCCTGGCCACCCTCCCCGTGCAGCGTGGCCGAGGGCATTTCAAAGTCAGGCTGCCTGTGAAGCGCAGCATCGGCGGGAGGGAATTACTCAGCTCCCACCAGGCTGAGAATAGCTCGGAATTGGGTCACACTAACCGAGAGCTCCGGTCACAGCCTCCAGCCTTTGACGATAATCAGCTTTCTCCCTGACATCTGTCCCTTTAAAGAGGGGGCTGGCCAAGTGTGGGCACATTTTTGGAAGATGAGGACAGGGAGGGGCGTCTGTTCATGGTTGGCCCTCCATCCCTCCCACTTCCTTTGCTCTCCTCACTCCATTTCCGCTCCACCCCCGCCCCCCACAGGCACCTCCATCCTAACTGCCCACCCTGCAGCTGCCCCCACTCCCCAGGACCCATCAGCCCCCACGCACAGGCCAGGCGGTATGACACAGTTCCAGGCATGCTTGGCACCACGGTGCCCCCTCACAGGTGAGGGACACCAGTGGGATTCAGCGGGGAGGGTGGGTCCTGCCCCAGCCCTCCTGCCCGCCCTGCTGACTGTTCCCTTGGCCTCCTGAGTGGGATGGCCCCTGTGCGGTGGCCCAAAGTCCCCTCTGACTCCCTTGGGCTCTCCTCCTTTTGATGGCCAATAAAGGCGATGGTGGGATCGGGCCACCCGCCTCTCCCAGGATTCTCGCCCCTCAGGCCTGAAGTGCCCTCCTCAGCTGCTCCTCACCTCCCCACTCAGATCACACAGGGAAAGCAGCCCCTTCACCACCCGACCGTCCCCCCACAAAGCCTCTGTGTGTGCAGCCCCCAGCACAGGGCACCGGCTGACCCTTTCGGTCCCCGCCCTCAGGTCCCTCCCTGGGCTCCCGGCGCCTCCTCCCAGCCTGCGCAGCACAGCCAACAGGGTGCCCCAGGGACGGTCAGACAGAAACCGCTGTGTCCTGGGGCATGATGTAGAGCCAGGGCCCTCACTGTCTGAGTTCAAACACAGCTTGGCTTTGGGGGAAGAAGAGATGCTTGGGTGGCCTTTTCTTTGACAAGATCCAAAGCTCAGCACCCTCCCCCCACCACTTCCTGTCTCCATAGCAATATAGTAGTGTGTCCTCCCCAGGGTGAGCTCTGCCAAGCTGCCCTCCCCCCAGAGGCAGAAGTGTCCTCTCGTGGCCTGGCCTTCCGTCCTCTCTGCCGGCCACCCTCGTGGCCGACCGCTGAAGCACCTAGATGTGACCCTGGCAGAGCGAGGCAGAGGTCCTGGGGCTGGTGCATCCATGGGCCCGTGGCTTCCTCTCCCGGGTCTGATGGGCCCCGGGTGCAGCCAGACGCCTCCTCTGCACAGGGCTCTCCGTGCTTGGAGCTACGCAGCTGCTCACCTGTAGGCTTTCT